ATACAGAGTACACAGAAAATATTTGTATTTGGAATCTGAATCGCCGTCCAAATAACCCACTTCCAAATTTTAAGTCAGCTCTGCGACGGGTGCACAAGAAAGTGGATGTATACACAACTACTCCCCCCTCCCAGAGTTCCACAAATAGTTACAACGAAATGTCTTCCGCTGTACGTTGAAATATTGGGGAAAAATTCATCTGAACAATGTGCAGTGAAACATTCGGAGAGACGGTTGTAGACTTCCGATTTACAGTGAAACACTAAGAAAAACAGTTTAACTGCAGTTATGCAATAAGATACTACATTGAAAAACTTGAGAACGGTAGACCCGTTATACATTGAAACACTTGAGAGCAGTAGACCATATTTATACATTGAAACACTTGAGAACAGTAGACAATAATTATACACTGAAACACTTGAGAACGGTAGACCATATCTATACATTGAAACACTTGAGAACGGTAGACCATATCTATACATTGAAACACTTGAGAACGGTAGACCATATCTATACATTGAAACACTTGAGAACAGTAGACCATATCTATACATTGAAACACTCGAGAACGGTAGACCATATTTATACATTGAAACACTTGAGAACAGTAGACCATATCTATACATTGAAACACTTATTGAAACACTTGAGAACGGTAGACCATATCTATACATTGAAACACTTGAGAACGGTAGACCATATCTATACATTGAAACACTTGAGAACAGTAGACCATATCTATACATTGAAACACTCGAGAACGGTAGACCATATTTATACATTGAAACACTTGAGAACTGTAGACCATATTTATATATTGAAACAGTTCGAGAGCAGTAGACCATATTTATACATTGAAACACTTGAGAACGGTAGACCATATTTATGCATTGAAACACTTGAGAACGGTAGACCATATCTATACATTGAAACACTTATTGAAACACTTGAGAACGGTAGACCATATCTATACATTGAAACACTCGAGAACAGTAGACCATACCTATACATTGAAACACTCGAGAACAGTAGACCATATCTATACATTGAAACAGTTCGAGAGCAGTAAAACTTCCACTGTATACTGTACTATTTGAGGAAAGTAGAATGTCTGATGTACATTGAAACACTTGAACATATTTGCACATTAAAACAACAGAACTTTCGCTGTACATTGAAATACTCGATATCAGTGAAATTTCCATTGTACATTGTAAAACATAGAAAACTATAAACCACAAGCACAAACAATTCTGTTGTTGATTAAAACTGTCCGGTGTACAGAGGAACAACTTGAGTGGTAATTTGAAATGATTAGACACAACAGTTGCAGAAGATTTGGACAACTACGTGGCAGTGAAACCTGTCGTTTGTAAGATTCTTTGATTCGGGGATAAAAGCTAATGGTGGACTTCCCGAATACCCTAGATACTATGATTTTCAATCATATCAAATAGTAGCTTGATCTCATCCAACAGCAGAAATACAGGTAAGAAATCATTTCTAAATAAAGGTATTTTTTTCCTGATTTGAAGAACTGAAACACTTGTTAATAAAGATATGTTAAATGTTTATTAATCTGGATAACTGCGTGTAAATCGGGATCATTTAAACTATCACTGAAACGCTTGTAAATCAATGTCAATCGAACGTTTTTCCTTATCTATTTCACGAATACGCGGTTTATAGTCGAAAGCTTAAATATTTGTCACTAAAACGCTTGTAAATAAATCAAAAGTAGACATACAGCTGAGAACACCTTTCTAAGTAAAGGTCAAACGCTTTTTCCCTGATTTGTATTTTTTTCTCTGGATCAGTCACTAAAACTAATGTAAGGGTTAGTCAAACGCATTTTTATCATCTAGCTAAAAAAAATAATTTCCATGAAACTTTCTGAAACGCTATTACATCATCGATAAAACGCTTTTTAGGCTAAACGTACTCAGTACGCATAGCCTATTGGTACGGCCTTTCAGACAAAATTTACCGATCCTGGCCTTCTCATTTAGCTGAAATATCGAAAAGCGTTAGAGCCCTCTAGCGGCAATTTTCTGCGTAAATAATGCCGCGATCTTTCAAATCGCTATTTTAAAAGCATCCAAAATTAGTTTATTTTTTAAATAACAATACGATTACTATATATTTCAAACAAGAAGCACAGGGTGGTTGAACTATTGATAAATTTTGAACAATATATTTTACGGAATTCTCGACATGACGCAAGCGTACAGAACACTGTACGTGCGAGTTGATAAGAAGCTAGTCTGGGGGCTTGGTTTGAATTATCAACTAACAGCACTTATAAACAAACAAAACTTACAAACAGAACATCAGTTTTGTTTTAATCCTTGTCGTTGTGGCAAGATCGTCTTAATATATAACATCACTTTACCTCAGTAGACGTCACTGAATTGGACTGTTAGTCCCACGCGCACACCCGCCGATATGACACTTTTTTCAGGTTTTTCACATCCACCGCCATGACACTTTTTCAAGTTTTTGAAGATTAAATGTTTGCGCTTCGTAGGCAAGGTACATTTAGTGCTCATGATTTATGAATAATGTTTTTAATACTGTATTGATCATGATGTCATAACTCTGTCATAACTTATATTTTTTGTCTTTTAGTTTTATTTGATGAAGGTTGATTGTGCTGATTTCTCAAGGTTTGTTAATGTGTATCAGGTTTGTTAATGTGTATCAAAGTTCCTTGAATTGAAAATATTTCTTCAAACAAAGCGCGTATAAAAAAAACCTAAATATTCATGTTTATAATTATCAATTAACTAGAACGAAATATTTCCATAACATATTTATCCATTTAGCGTGTCATGGTGACATTATCTAATGCATTGGAGATCAGAAATAGTAGTAGCTATCGTGAAAATATTGTAAATTTTGCATATATATGGAAGTCTGGTTTAATCTCAAAGAACTAAGTCTTTATAGACATAATTACTTCAAGAAATTACTTACACTATTACTTAAGTCCTTTCGATTGTCAAATGTTTTATTTAGTCAACATCATAGAGCTATTAATCATTTGGCTTGTTGGCGATAAATATATGGCTGTGTGTATTTTGTTATTTTTTTACCTATTTTGATTTGTTCACATTATTTCAAATTTGACGACAATAAAGAAGATATAAAATCGCTTAAAATTCAGAAAAATAGCCTCTGGTTCTCTTATTTGTGAACATTTTTCAATACGTTTAGCCTTTCAGTACTTTGATCTGTGATTAGTTTCGCTACAACGTAAATCAGATCAAAGTTTCTAACGCTTGGAAATCAGGGTAAGTAAAAACACTTCTTTGATCAGTGTCAATAAAACGCTTGTAAATCAAGGTCGGGTAAACGCTTTTTTTTCCGGAAGTTAAGAAAAACGCTTTTATCTGATCAGTGTAACTAAAACGCTTGGAAATCAGGGTCAGTCAAATGCTTTTTCCTCATCAGTGTCACTAAAATGCTTGAAAATCAATGTCAGTCAAACGCTTTCATCTATTCAGTGTCACTTAAACGCTTTCTGACCCTCACTAAATGCTTATAAATCAGTGTAACTAAAACACTTGAAAATCAGGGTCAGTCAAATGCTTTTATCTGATTAGTGTCACTAAAATTATTGTAAATCAGGGTCAATTTAACCTAATCTCTAAAATATTCATTAACCGTTTGAAATTACCAGGCTGAATTGAAATTGGAAATCTAATGCAATTACATAGGTCGTAACATACTAATGGCTGAGGTGCCTCAAAATAATGATCTCGCTGTAGTATTAAGTAACCAGAGTAACAACAAACTCCAATTTTCTTATTCTGTACCCAATAGCCTGTGATCTGTTCCTATTTCTTTTCATTTCTTTTTCACTTGCTGAATTAATGACCGATAACATCAACACTACTGTAGAGGAATAGATTTCACTCCACATCATAATCAAATGAAAAATTTGTATGAACTGTTAGGACATTTTACTATGTGAACATTCTGATCTACATTTAAAAAAAACCTTAAGCAGGAATATGGTCTTTTTTAATGGAATATAAAATTTTAAAATCTCAATTATGGCATCAAAATCAACTACAATACAACAGTGAGTGTGATAAAAGAGAGGAAGAAAAATTATGAATCAATATGTTTTAATATTATCATGATCATATTAATCAAATATTTTTAATACGTAAACAAACAATAAATATCATACACATGTTTGATACAAAAATGAAATCTTCATCCATATTTTCTTCAAACAATTCCTGCTGAAATTAAGTTCAGTGAAAAATGAATTACATTCATACAGAATTAAAAGAACAAATTGTGGTAATTTATTGAGTATGACATTAAAAATTAAGCTAGATCTTCACTAAACCTAGCAATGTAACATACATATATCACAATTGAGTACTGTAGTATACAAGTTTTGTATATTTTAACTGGCCTTAACAAGTTTATTCTCTGTCTCATCCTACAAGATGAACCAAGGACTTTCTTTAGGTACACTTCTACATGTATATCTAGCTGTCGCCAGGACATCAGTAGAAGTAAACTGCTACAAGCACTGGTGTTCTGGTAACAGCTGGAGATACAAGCACTGGTGTTCTGGTAACAGCTGGATATACAAGCACTGGTGTTCTGGTAACAGCTGGAGATACAAGTACACAGCTACAAGCTCTGGTGTTCTGGTAACAGCTGGAGATACAAGTACTGGTGTTCTGGAACAGCTGGAGATACAAGTACACAGCTACAGATACAAGCGCTGGTGTTCTGGTAACACAACTGCAGATACAAGCACTGGTGTTCTGGAGATACAAGTACACAGCTACAAGCACTGGTGTTCCGATAATAGCTGGATATACAAGTACACAGCTACAGATACAAGCGCTGGTGTTCTGGTAACACAACTGCAGATACAAGCACTGGTGTTCTGGTAACAGCTGGAGATACAACACAAGTACACAGCTACAAGCACTAGTGTTCTGGTAACAGCTGGAGATACAAGTACACAGCTACAAGCACTGGTGTTCTGGTAACACAGCTGGAGATACAAGTACACAGCTACAAGCACTGGTGTTCTGGTAACACAGCTGGAGATACAAGCACTGGTGTTCTGGTAACACAGCTGGAGATACAAGCACTGGTGTTCTAGTACAAATCTTTCAGTGCTAAGGGCATTCTTGTCCCATGGTTTCAGTACAACTGAAATTTCTTACAATGTTGTATATATCACAGATAATGCTTTAGTACTTTGTTGGATTTCAGTCGTCCGAGTCAGAAGCCTCCTCCTTGAGTACAGCTGATGTCAGGGACTTGAGATCCTCCAATACCAACTCTAGAGGTTCATCTGTAACAGAAAGAACATAATGCTGATTCTATTTCAATCATGCAATGATAAATGCAATTACTATTATCTTTCCAGAAGTTAAGTCTTATTAGCAAGCGTTCAATGTCTATTCTGAGACATGTATTCTTTACTAAAAATGTAAAGACCATATTTTACAGTAGGAGTCAAGAATTTCCAAGAATAAGGAGGCCAGGTGTGATGACAAGACCAGTAGTACCTACCTGTTGTTTCTCTATTTGCTGGCCCCTCCAGTGTTGGTGGTGAGACCAGGAGTACCCTCCAGTGTTGGTGGTGACACCAGCAGTACCTACCTGTTGTTTCTCTATTTGCTGGTCCCTCCAGTGTTGGTGGTGACACCAGGAGTACCTACCTGTTGTTTCTCTATTTGCTGGTCCCTCCAGTGTTGGTGGTGAGACCACAGACTTCCTCTGTGTAACAGATTCCTCAGCCTCAAGTGTGACTGGCTCTGACCTTGTGGCCTTGACCTTTCCAATGAGTCCTTCTTGTCTCAGAGTGGCCTAAACAAAAACAAAATGCATATTAAAAATAAAAAGATTTGGTTTAAAACGTTGGTGGTTTGATGAGTGTGATAGCTCAGATTATTTTGCCTCATGTGAAGAAACCAGGTACATAGGTCCCGATTTCTACGCCTGCCAGTTTGTGTTTCTCAGGTTCCAGTCATGCATTACTATGGTTACCTACAGTTGCTGTAGTTACCTACCATCATCAGGTTCTAGTCCTGCACTACCATGGTTACCTACAGTTTCTGTAGTTACCTACCATCATCAGGTTCCTGTCTTTCTCCAGTGCCTGTAGTTGCTGCTGTAACTGACCAACATGTTTGGTGTAATGTGCCTCTACAGTGGCCAGATGCTCTGCTGACCGCTCCTTCTCTCTGTTGGTCTGACGTTCTAACTGTCTTAGTGCAACAACTGGAATATCCATATTATGCATGATAAGAAGGTTGGCCATTGAAATAACTTTCGTATATTACAGAATATGACCAGAACTAACAGAAAAAAATCATCTTCTTTTATACTTACGTATTTTCCTTACTGAGATCTTAATAAAAAATAATTTAACTTTGATGAGCCCAGTCTATCAAAACTGATCTATGTTTGACAGATGCTTATATTGCCCTGAAAAATTACCAAAGCATTAATTTACTATGTAAAGTTTTCTATTTAGCAATGGAAATACTTTGGAATCCAATATGAACATGACTTCATCCTTTTTTATCTACCTGCTTTTGTGTGTTCTCGTCGAGCGTCATCAAGTTTGCGGTTTAAATCAGCTAATTCTTCAGCTGTTTCTGTCTGCATCGATGTTTTTTGCTCTGACAAGGCTACAAGACAGTTTACATATGAATTGGTCATCAACCAAGCTTAGAAAACTAGATAATAAAATTAAAATTTATGCTGCCATACCGTTGAGTTGATATTTGATATTTTCAAGTATGAAAAGCATAAAATTGTAAAAAACACATTTAAGGAAAAATTAAATTACTGTAAAATCATATGTTTTCATGGGGTTCAATTTTCGTGGTTTTATTATTTGGTAGACTTTGATACATGGATAAATGCAGATCAATAAATCTACTTGTAATAACTTTACCAGTTAGTGGTCACATAAATTTATAGATTAACGAGAGCCAAAGATATCAATGGAAAAGTTTCCCCAACGAAACTGGTATTACAGTAATCTAGAAAATAATAGTTCAATTTGTAACATCTTTGGAGAAATACATTCTTTTTGCTTCAATCATGCTGTGCAATATGATTTGTGAAAAAAATATAACAAACTTTACATTAGATATTCGAAATCTAACCATGACCAGTAAGACACTGTATATAACTACCTTGTGTGGACTGAATCTCCTGGTGGGCCAGTGCCATCTTTAGTGCCTCAACCTTCTCTGATGCCTCCTCCAGCTCTATCTGTTGCAGCTCACACCTTTCACTAAGCTCTGTCATCCTCTGGTCAAACGGAACAAAGTTTATCATTATACTGACAAAAACTCCTTGTTTAATTAAGCTTTTCTCCAATGTGTATTCCTGTGTAAGTGTTTCACCCGAGATTCTTCATTAAACAACAGTGTCTCACCTGAGATTTTTCCCACTTTGTTTATCAACGTCTCACTTAAGATTTTTCCTGTCTCATTCAACAAAACTGTCTCACCTGAGATTTTTCCTGTGTGATATATTCCAGGTCCTCAATAGTCTTCCTCAGACTGGTAATTTCTTCCTGATCTGTAAAACACAAACCATCAGTGGTATTTAACTGGAGAATTAAATTTGTCTTTATCAGGATTTCAGGTTTACATTACAGGATTAATTTACACATAATTTTTTTACCCGGAAATCCTGTCCCATCTACCAAAATGTGATCCCTATAAAACCTGTATATTATGATATCTTGTTTATTCTAGTCTATCACTGTTGCTTCATACATCTTCACTTCATCACCCGGTATACTTCAAGAGAAGGGACATAACTCTCTAACTCCCATTTAGAGTATCACAACCACAAAAACACTTGTACAAAAATGTAAAACTTCTATTTAAGCTGGATAAAAACCTAAGTAAGTTTCAAAGAAATACAAGTCAGAATAAAATGCTCAGTGGACTATGAGACATAAATACATAAAGGGGACATAACTCTCATAAGTCAGAAAAACAAAACACTACAGGTTCAAATTATGTCACCAGACATCAAGAGGATCACATTGACAACTTGAGTGTTCCTAATGGATGAAATGATATCTTACATGTTGCTGTGGCCGCCTGTACACGCTCGTCCCAGGTCTGACTGTCTTGTCGCAGCTGAACTGCCAATGTGTCACGCTCCTTGGTCACACGATCTAGCTCCTCTTGTATATGAGTTACACTGAAACATACCAGAATCACACACAGGTAAGTAATTTCACTAGTAAGCATTTCCAGTTGTGCACAGTTCCAAATTACATACAAGTAAATGTTTCAAATAGCATACAGGTAAATGTTCCAAATCACATACAGGTAAATGTTCCAAATTACATATTAGTACAGGTAAATGTTCCAAATCACATACAGGTAAATGTTCCAAATCACATACAGGTAAATGTTTCAAATCACATAAGTACTGGTAAATGTTCCAAATCACATACAGGTAAATGTTCCAAATTACATACAGGTAAATGTTCCAAATCACATACAGGTAAATGTTCCAAATTACATACAGGTAAATGTTCCAAATCACATATTAGTACAGGTAAATGTTCCAAATTACATACAGGTAAATGTTCCAAATCACATACAGGTAAATGTTCCAAATCACATACAAGTAAATGTTCCAAATTACATACAAGTAAATGTTCCAAATCACATACAGGTAAATGTTCCAAATTACATACAGGTAAATGCTTACAGGTAAATGTTCCAAATCACATACAGGTAAATGTTCCAAATCACATACAGGTAAATGTTCCAAATTACATATTAGTACAGGTAAATGTTCCAAATCACATACAGGTAAATGTTCCAAATTACATACAGGTAAATGTTCCAAATCACATACAGGTAAATGTTCAAAATCACATTAGTACAGGTAAATGTTCCAAATTACATACAGGTAAATGTTCCAAATCACATACAGGTAAGTGTTCCAAATCACATACTAGTACGGGTAAATGTTCCAAATCACATACAGGTAAATGTTCCAAATTACATACAGGTAAATGTTCGAAATCACATATTAGTACAGGTAAATGTTCCAAATCACATACAGGTAAATGTTCCAAATCACATATTAGTACAGGTAAATGTTCCAAATCACATACAGGTAAATGTTCCAAATCACATATTAGTACAGGTAAATGTTCCAAATCACATACAGGTAAATGTTCCAAATTACATACAGGTAAATGTTCCAAATCACATACAGGTAAATGTTCAAAATCACATTAGTACAGGTAAATGTTCCAAATTACATACAGGTAAATGTTCCAAATCACATACAGGTAAGTGTTCCAAATCACATACTAGTACGGGTAAATGTTCCAAATCACATACAGGTAAATGTTCCAAATTACATACAGGTAAATGTTCCAAATCACATATTAGTACAGGTAAATGTTCCAAATCACATACAGGTAAATGTTCCAAATTACATACAGGTAAATGTTCCAAATCACATACAGGTAAATGTTCCAAATCACATACAAGTAAATGTTCCAAATTACATACAGGTAAATACATACAGGTAAATGTTCCAAATCACATACAGGTAAATGTTCCAAATCACATACAGGTAAATGTTCCAAATCACATACAGGTAAATGTTCCAAATCACATACAGGTAAATGTTCCAAATCACATACAGGTAAATATTTCAAATTCTACACAGGTAAATATTTGAAATTAACTGCTAGTTTTATTGCCCTATAAATAGCCAGGATCATTTTGAGGCAGGAGCTCCTTGTAACAACTCCTGGCTTCCTCAATATATGCTGTCTACAGCCATTAAGAGTAAAGTGAGTTTCCCAAGGATGCAATCACATCAGCACACCAGTCTGTTTCTCAGCTTCCTTAGAAACACAAACCGGTACGGGTATGGAGCATCAAACCACATATGGACCTTAACCTTTAGGTTAAGAAGGCCGACATTCTATCAATACAGTTAGCACTGTGATTCTTCAAGTTAAAGCGTTCAGAAGCGCAATGTCTTGTAATATGTTCAACATGCAGTGAAATCTTTGTGAAATGAAATGCTTTCCTTAATTATGTCTTAATTACAATTTTCAAAAAGAAAAAAAATGTTTTAAATGTACATGTGAAATCTAAGTCCTGAAAATTTAGAGAAACTGCTTCGTAAACTTACATTGGGGAGAACGGAAAGACAGGTAGACAAACTGATACAGAGATTATTATATAAGGTGTGCACATCGCAGATAATAATGTAATACCTGTCTGATATAATTGTCTCCCCTTCTTTCTCCCCAGTCTGTTTTTCCATTTCTTCAGTCTTTCTCTGTAGCAGAGCATCACGGCGGGCATACAGACCTATCATAAAGAAAAACACTATAAAGTTAAAGAGAATTATCTTTCATTCTTCAAGAGGGAAACAAATCATCTGTAATAATCACATATCTCCAACACATGTTATACAGTCAGTAATATCAACAGAAAACGAATCCAAAAATTAAAACTTTCAAATCTCAAAAATATCTGCAAACCATTTGATTTTCTTACAACACGAAGTTTGAGATTTTGTCGTCATTTTCCCAGAAATAGTAATGATGATTAGCGAGATACCATTAACGACACCGTCTCAAATTCATGATTTTACCAAACCCAAATTTGCTCTATGAGAAAAGAATTTTAAAAATGTACTGTTAAGAATGAACCTAAATTTATTATTCTGAAAAATAATTTTTCAGTGCTTCTTCAACCTTTGCCTGCCAAAGTAAAAATGGCTGCCTGTTCGCACTTTTTCGATTAGCCTCAAATTTGAAGCAACTAAGCAAACTTTAAGAATCAAAATTTGATCAATAACAAAATAGGAATTGCAAAATATAATCAGGGGCCTAAAAAAATCTACACCTCATACTGAGAAAGGGCATCGACAAACTTAAATTTCAAAATCTTAAATGGCTTCCAGTCTGCCATTTACTTTTCTGAGCGATCTCAAATCATAAATGCTTATTTCTTTTCTAGCCCAAAATGACAGCAATTTAAAAACTTAACAAAAGAACTTTATTTTTAAAATTCTTCATACCACTACATTTCTTCCCCATGAGATCTCCATGTATTTTAAAAAACAACAAACCACAGAAGCATTCTTCCAACTATGTGTTGAATTGATGATGTTAGAATAGAACTAACATGTATATTTGCACCATCAAACAAATTATGATTTTGTGGGTCTCTGCTTTATCAAAACACCAGTTCTAGGGTGTGTGTCTGAACTATGATTATCTTGGGGTTAAATACAGTTAAACAGTAAAAGAGAATACCTACCTTGTAACATCTCAACACGTCCACTGGCGAAACTGACCCGCTGACCATATCTTTGGAGTGTTACTAGGGCTGCTGTAAGCGGTTGAAGCTTTGCATCCATGGCAGAGATAACACTGAATGAAACAAAATCAAAATGAAGAAAAAAAAAACAAGAAATAAATCTTCCAAATAGTGATGAATAGAGATGTTGTTCAAGACAACATAACGTACATTATGGTTATGACGTCTAATAACTTTCAGGAAAAAATAAAAATAAAATTGAGAGAAAGATCACTAGACAAAAACCTGATGGAAAACAAACATGTGCAAAGACATCATACCATAATATATTTTGTCAAAATTTTTAACGAGCAAATACAAATTCATTTTAAATAATTTAAATGCAATGGGTCATTTATGATCGGTAATTTCCAAATTTAAGAAATGAGACAAAATGTTCATTTTTATCAAAACTCCACTTAAGAGGAGAAGAAAGACACCATCACTATATGTATAAATCAATGTGCCAAGTACATTTTTGTATGTCAACCTTAAGAAACAATCCATCTTCTAATTTGCCAGTAAAAATTTACAACAGCCATGCCACTGTCATTTTTGAAACCCAGTAGGACTGTCAATTGATATGTTAAGAATATATCAAAAAAGACATAATAACTGTTTAAACTATCTAAAAACAAAGTAAAATGCCAATCTTGATTTGTAAGGAACTTTTTTCCTAAAATTTCAGTATTGTTCTGCTATTAATCAAAGTATATACCTCTGTGAGAAGTTAACCAGACTGTCCATTGACTCGCGGTCCTGAGAGAGCTGCTGATCGAGCACGACGGCCACCTTCTGTGTCTCTTCTGCCTCCTGCTGCAGCTTCTACAAGTCATAGAAACACAGTCATTATCACACATAGCGTTGAAAAGTCATTAAAACACTTATACTGATTTCTCCAAATTTCTTTATAACACAAGCATTCTGCTGGACAAAGGTTGACTATAACATGATGTATTTAGTGATTTGGAGCCATTTTATCCTGCAATAAGCCTTGGAGCTGACAAAATAGCAATTCTGAAAGGCAGTGGGTAGACTTATGGCAGGACAACTGCCCCACACAGGTCTTGAACCCACGCCCCAGAGGCCCCACAGCTAGTGATAAAGAAGGTCAGATATCTTAGCCACTTGGCAACTGCATCACCCAAATGTCTGTAACTCTTCATCAGTAAGTGGTCTTATTAACGGACATCAACTGATTACTGGATAAACATTAAAACAATGTTTTGAGGTCAACAACAAAACTGACCTTTATTAATACCCAAACTACCTTAAACATAGTTACATAAGCTATATTGTTGGTAAATTTTACTTATATCACATCTACCTTGTTATTGTTGGTTTCTATATCGAGCTGTGCCTTGATGTCAGACAGGGAGTGAGCTAGAACTTCCTTCTGGTTACTGACAGACATCAGCTGGTCCTGGAGGTCAGAAAGCTACAAAAAACACACACTTCAACTTCAAATCAATTCTACAAACTTAACTTTACCTATAATATGTATTCCATACACATCTGTTTGAATTAAAATTTGTACAGGGTACCAGTTTATCCAAACATTATAAGGACTTATATACAGTCAAACCTGTCCATAAAGGCACCTTGCAGGAGAAGAGGAAAGTGGCCTTGATATAGAGGTAAAATGACGACCTCTTCAGAAGGTGACTGCTATATAGAGGTGGCCTGTGAGGCAGGTATTAGTTCTCATTAATCTAGACAAACACATGTTTAGATCTCTGATGTAAGATCATCAAATTCAGAAAATGCTACCTCTGTTATATAAGCATAATGAGTCAGAGATCACTTATTTATACCTGGAAAAAATGTCTGGAATAAGAAGGTGTTTGATAATTTTCAAAATGGTGAAATAAAGAGGATTCAAGAGAGGAAAGAGTCCAGACACACCAAACTTGGTCACTGTACAACATCATTTTTCTGAGAAGCTATTGTAGTATTATACACAACTTTTTAACATCAATAAAAATGGAAACTTTCAAAATACAAAATTTCTGAGTTCTGATTGAATCAGCAAGAAAGCCATTAATGTATATTAGTTTTGTGTCTATTTTTCCAAAAGAATTTTTGAAGTTAAAGACCCATAAAAATTTTGGAAATACTTAAAATTTTACATTGCGGAACCCACTTGTTTTAGCAATAAAGTTGAAAATGACTCATCAATACAAATTGTAGGTTGTTCACTGCATATCAGGAGCCATAAGGAAACTATTTTATAATTTTTTTTGTAATTTATCCTGGTGTGCCCTCCTTCAGTTTCTTACCTTTTCTTTCCAGTTGTAGTCATTTTTTTTCTGCATCATCTCTGAAGACTTTTGTTGAACGAGAAGAGTGAATACTTTTTCTCGCCACCTAAAAAAAAAAAAAAAAAAACAGAAAATTTTCGAAAACCTTCCATTATGTAAAACATGCATAAACAATAATATTTTCATTGAAAAAACTATAATTTATCATGCTATAGACACAGATATTAAAATGGAAACTTTGGTTGAGAATGTGAAGCTAAATTTTCTGGTTTACAAAATGGGAATTATTACCAAATACTTTAAAGACCTTCATTTTCAAAGTGGTCAAAATTTTTTCATTATTTTCAAAAATGGTGTAAAATCACAAAATGATTTCTTAAAATTAAATCATTGGAACAAACTATAGTCTGTTTCAATTTTTTCAGTGAAAAAATTATCCTTAATTCTGTAACCCTTGTAAAATACTAGCCGCAATATACCACTCGGCTAGAGAGAACTTCTCTTTAGCTCGATTGGTTGAGCGTCAGACTAGTAAGCCAGGGGTTCGATTCCTAGCGGAGGCATTGAGATGAAAAAAGGACCTCTGTTACAATTCTAATTTTCTTCAAATGATAAATGGTAAAACAACAAAACGAACAACCCTTACAGTTGTTTTCTGTTCTGGACTCATTCCTTTCTAAATGAGACGCTGTACAACAGGTTTTTACACCAGTAACTAATGTTTTGATCTTTTAGCCTCAAAATTTCATGGCAAATATTGAACTGGTGAAATTTATGTTCTTTTATAGATTTTTCATTCTTCAATAGTGAAACTATGACTCCACTTAAATTGAATATTCTTAATTTGACACCAAATAACAGAATTGGCCTGTTGCCAAGTTGATGTATCATGTGGTATTATTCACATCAATGTCTACACAATGTTTATACTGTTATGTTAGGTAGGATAGGATAAGTAGAAAAAAAGTCAAAGTAGGCATTACATATGGTGCCATGATGGTTGTATTGAATTATTTCAATCTGGCTCTAAATAATAAAACTTCATTAGAATCAAAATTATCTTTATTAGAAATTGTATTGAATCTAAAAAATGAAGAAGAAAACAAAAAAATTGCATGATAGGTACAGACTGGAAATTAGAAGATAAATTAAAAAAGAATAAACATGCTATATTGTACAGACCACCACCTGATAGTTTTGTTACTCATTTTATTTCGGAAAGATCAATAAAGTACAGCAATTAAATGGTCTGAATGATTAAATATTCATTTGGGCAGGTGAGCAATCTGTCACACCCCTTGACTACAGTAGACTAGCCTAAATTGGCCAAGAGTAGAGTGTATTGCTGTGAGAAGGGGTGACAAGAGCTAAATGATGGATGATATCTACCTGGTAAGTAGATTTTCCTTCTGGTCTTTATCCATCTTCTCCTTTGTTGTCTGAAAGAGAGGAAGATTTCCACTTTCAAAAGTCTTTAAGATAATCTTTTCTAAAAACTTAACAATGATAATGTTGAAAACAATTTGTTATCTGGGGGATACTAAATATGAGTGTAAGGTGGGGATACTAAATCTGTGTGTAAGGTGAGGATACTAAATCTGATTGTAAGGTGGGGATACTAAATCTGAGTGTAAGGTGGAAATACTAAATCTGAGTGTAAGGTGAGGATACTAAATCTGAGGATAAGGTGAGGATACTAAATCTGATTGTAAGGTGAGGATACTAAATCTGAGTGTAAGGTAGGGATACTAAATCTGTGTGTAAGGTGAGGATACTTAATCTGATTGTAAGGTGAGGATACTAAATCTGAGTGTAAGGTGAGGATACTAAATCTGAGTGTAAGGTGGGGATACTAAATCTGAGGATAAGGTGAGGATACTAAATCTGATTGTAAGGTGAGGATACTATTTTGAGTGTAAGGTGGAGATACTAAATCTGAGTGTAAGGTGGGGATACTAAATCTGAGTGTAAGGTGAGGATACTAAATCTGAGTGTAAGGTGGAGATACTAAATCTGAGCGTAAGGTGAGGATACTAAATCTGAGTGTAAGGTGAGGATACTTAATCTGAGTGTAAGGTGAGGATACTAAATCTGAGTGTAAGGTGAGGATACTAAATCTGAGTGTAAGGTGAGGATACTAAATCTGAGTGTAAGGTGAGGTGAGGATACTAAATCTGAGTGTAAGGTGGTGGATACTAAAGGTGAGGATACTATCTGAGTGTGAGGATACTAAATCTGAGTGTAAGGTGGGGATACTAAATCTGATTGTAAGGTGAGGATACTAAATCTGAGTGTAAGGTGAGGATACTAAATCTGAGTGTAAGGTGGAGATACTAAATCTGAGTGTAAGGTGGGGATACTAAATCTGAGTGTAAGGTGGGGATACTAAATCTGAGTGTAAGGTGGAGATACTAAATCTGAGTGTAAGGTAAGGATAGTGTAAGGTGAGGATACTAAATCTGAGTGTAAGGTGAGGATACTAAATCTGAGTGTAAGGTGAGGATACTAAATCTGAGTGTAAGGTGAGGATACTAAATCTGAGTGTAAGGTGAGGATACTAAATCTGAGTGTAAGGTGAGGATACTAAATCTGAGTGTAAGGTGGGGATACTAAATCTGATTGTAAGGTGAGGATACTAAATCAGAGTGTATGGTGGGGATACTAAATCTGAGTGTCAGGTGAGGATAATGTGAGGATACTAAATCTGAGTGTAAGGTGAGGATACTAAATCTGAGTGTAAGGTGGGGATACTAAATCTGAGTGTAAGGTGAGGATACTAAATCTGAGTGTAAGGTGAGGATACTAAATCTGAGTGTAAGGTGAGGATACTAAATCTGAGTGTAAGGTGAGGATACTAAATCTGAGTGTAAGGTGAGGATACTTAATCTGATTGCAAGGTGAGGATACTAAATCTGAGTGTACGGTGGGGATACTACATCTGATTGTAAGGTGGGGATACTAAATCTAAGTGTAAGGTGAGGATGCTAAATCTGAGTGTAAGGTGGGGATACTTCAACTGATTGTAAGGTGGGAATACTAAATATGAGTGTGTCTTCTTCAAGTTCCCCTCCATCAGGAGTTGGAAGTCTTTCAATATATGTTTATAGACCCACCAGGGAGTTCCAAGTCGATGAGGGTTGTCCTGTATACCACCTTAGCTATTACAAATTATCATGGTGTATCTATGTACCTACCCGGGAGAGTTCCACTTCCTGTAGGCTAAGGATCTCATTAAGTGAAGACAAACGAATGTTGAGGAGCTGGAGATTGGACTGAAGATTTTCACGGTCTGCTTCACAAATCTATAAATAGATAAGAAATAATTGATATATAATTAACTTTAAACATAATCCCAGGTTCTATAATGCCTTGTATAGTTCTGACCTATTTACTGCCAATGTCTTCATCTGCTTCAAAAACTCAAAGACTGATATCTTAATAATTTGCACCACAAATCTATATAAATCAAATGTAGAAACAAAAACTCTGCCAAATGGTATATATGGTATATCCTTATTTCAATAATAGCAAAAAACATGTTAAAAAATTTTACAAAAAATGTTTTGACAGAATCAGCTAAGTTTGGTTGTTATGGTATCCCCTAGCCAACATCAGCAAGCTGTATCTTCATAATGTACAGAATGAAAACATCTGCTTCTTCATCCAGACTGAGATAAAAATAGGTAGTTATCTCCTTGAATCACTTTCTATCTTTGATTCTTAAGTTGAAAGAGCTGAACCTTACCTGACCATATCCGAGCTTAACCTTAGCCAAAGCAGAGCCTTACACGAGTCTCAGCTGAGTCTTACCTGAGCCAAACTTAAGTCATTCCCGAGTCTTCACTAAGCCTCGTCTTAAGCACTTACCTGTATTTTGTTACGTAGTGTGTCATTCTCTTTCTTCCAGACCTCTACAGGTTTATGAGTACGCTCAGAGTCCCCTATATAATTCTTAAGTTGAGTGATCTGTCTCTGTAGATTCTCTACAGTGAACTCTTTGGACCTGAATTGGGAAAAAGAACATCATTTCAATTACCAAAGTTTCAAACAACTGGCAAGAAAATTATTCAGAAAACTATACTTTTACAGAAAATTCTTAATTTATCTTTTCCAAAATACACATATGTAAGTCTCAACAAGAATCATTACCTACCTAAAGGAATAGGGGAATACACCATTTTTACAAATATCCATATCACAATAACACAAGAAGTTAGTAGATCATCAAACAGTTCTGTAGTAGTATATCAGTAAGTGATGTCAGTGGTAGGGATGTCCAGGACTCACCGTAATTCTTTCTCCAAGGTGACTTTGGTGACACAGAGATTGTCCTCACTGGCCTTCAGCTGTGACTCAAGGTCAGACACTCGTGTAGATGACCGCTTTCCAAGAGTGTTGAGTTCATCTTTAAGTTCTCGCATCACCTTATTCATCTCTTCTTTCTCTCCTTCATGGTCATAACTGAGACGACTTATCTGTAAATCAAATGATATTCAAATCCCACTTGACACCTGTGACAGTTAAATATCGTCTACAACTGTCATATCTCATCCATACCTGGAAATGGTCACAAAACATCTGCAATGGTTAAATCTCACTTGTAATAATCAAATATCACATCAACTTTGACCTTTCAGATTCATGACTTGCATCTAACTTTTTGATCTTTGACCTATCACGTTGATCTTTTACCTGTTTCCAGTGAACCTATGACCTAAGTTACTTGTGAGTTACAGCTCTTCTCTTGCCTTTTGACTCATGACTTTCTAATGTGTTAAACAATCTTGACCTATGACCTAAGCTACCTGTGAGTTGTATCTGTCCTCTTGACCTTTAAGCTCAGCTTGCAAGGAGGCAACTTCTTGTATGGACTTTTTTTCAGTGATGGCATACTCTCGTTCTAACTTGGCGACCTCCTCACGATGTGTGACCTTGACATGCTGCAGTTCTTTCTTAAGGTCACCAATCTCTGCAGCTTGTTTCATGAGCAACTCGTCAATGTAACGCCTATCCATATCAGGAATGTGTTTGTGTTCTTCAGTTACTCGAATATCCTATGAAATTATAAGAAAAATCCAGATAACATGATTCTGTATCATTACAAATTTAAGACAAAAATTGTAAAAAGAGCAGAAAGCTGATATTAATCACTCTTGTCAAAACAGATTGAAGTGCATGAAAAGATGGACAGATGACCCCCATACCTCTTCATGTCCTGTCAGAGGATCGAATCCTGGTTGCCTTTGTGAGTTTAGCTAGTGCATTAGCACTGTGCCACCTGACCCACCCCATTTTCAATCCTTTAATAATATCCTTATCATTACTACCACCATTCAGACTAAAACTATTCGTGAGTTCTTTGACATGACATTGAGAATTATTACTAAGCATTATCATACAGATGCCTGACATTTTGCCAATGAGAAGGGAGATAACCACAATAAAGTTTCCTCGTTTTAATGGACTTAACAGAAACAAATGCTTTTTAAATCACTGCTCTTCAATATAATTTTCTTTCATTATTTTTTACTTTGAACACCACAGAATTTTCTAATTTTTGTATGGGTGGTTGAGTGGTGAAGTGGTAATGTTCTTGACTTTCATGTAGCTTTCCCCTGTTCAATGAATGGACGTGAAAAGGGAAGAGGAGACCACATTTGATTTCATCCACTTATTAGCTGCTTCAGAATATAAGTCACACCCTTTCTTACAATGTTTTGTAACCATTATGTTCACCAAAGTTTGTTGATATAACAGATAACATAAGGCAATTTATCAAGATCATCAGTAAAACATTTAATATAAGTTTGCAAATGAATTTTACAAAGATAATCCATTATTTCATTGGTGTGTTTCAAAAAAGTAAAATAGCAATTATTGCACTCGTTTGGCTTGGGAGCCTTCGAAGATTGTCTACACACAGATATAGGGACTGATGTTACATTTGTTTTACTTTACAATATCTCCTTTGGTGTCTGTTCTGTTGAATATTTGCAAAGACCCTTGCATGCTGATAAAATTTGTGTAGTCTCATATTGTTTCTTGTAAGTTCCACAAAGCCATTCTTATTGCAGACAAGCATGGCTGTCATTCTAGAATATGACCCGATGACATATCAATCCCAGGATGCAACAGGCTATTGAAAACTTTCGCTATAACTTCTGAAGCAACCACAAAAGTTCAGAAGATATTACTGTGATTCATACTAAAAGTTATGATTAATTTAATCCACAAGAATGTTATTTTTATTTCAATCTTAAAATCTTCCTGTATACACTTGCAAATGATGGTTCTAGACAATCTGTTTCAGTTAATAACATGTGATGGGCAGGTATTAAAAAAAATTGGTACTGATGTCTGGTACTGGTAAACTGGTATCCTTGGTTTGAATCACTATTTTTTATTTTTTTTGGAAGCGTGACATGATACATCAATAAAAATGATCGGGATGCGAGGTAACGCAGGTCAATAGTGCACATAATACACCTCGACAAAATGGCTGTTCTGAAGTACACAACCATCTGGAATTGATGTCAAGTCGATACGCTTCATTTTTTTTTCTTTTCATTCTACTGAATTTTTTTTCATCCACGTATATGCCGCATCGGTACATAAACGGCATGCCTGACTGCCAAGGCAAAAACAGTGGCCTATGATCCACAAAATACAGTACATAGTAATAAAACATGGTAATTATACAAAAAGAATGAACATGAAAGGAGTGTGTTTGAAGCCCATTAGTATACCTGTTGGTTCCGTTGATGATTGTCATTCTCTCATGTGGGTACATGACATTATTTACTTGGATTTACCAAGATTTACAAGTCAGGTGTTGACATTGAAGCAGAAGACACTTACTCTTCTGTAACACCTGGTCTTATTCTCCATGTACTTTTCAAGTATCTCTGTAAATCTTTTGTTCGTTCATGTTTTGACCTTGTTTCTGATAGTTGATCAATGTAACAAAACCATTAGAAGCAAATGTGTTGACATCATTAACGTCATTAGATAAAGATTTATTACGATTCTTCTCACAAATTTCATTCAAATGCGCTATATAAGTATTGTATCCGAGAAAACATGGTGTACATACCTGAACTGGGGCTGGCATTATAATAGGCACGTTTGGGGCTTCCCTGAAATACAAAATTTTCCTCTGAATTTTCAAAAAGATAACAATAGATGAAAAAGATAACAAAATATTTCATTCCTTTTTTCAAATTCCAATTTTTCACGGATTATAATTTTATTTCATATTCACAACCTGCGAAGCATGTGAACAACCGAAATAGTCTTAAAATCTCTACGGATGACAAGACACATTGTGTACTGGTATATCAGATAAAAAGGTAATCAATATCAATAATGAAAATGTAATATTAAACAAGAGGCCCATGGGCCTTAACGGTCATTTGATAAAAAAGCAAGCCAGACTCTAACAACAGTGAGTCTGCTGTTAAAACAGTGGGCTTTATTCATTTGAATAAACCTGGTAGCCCTTCCTTCCAGCATCCTACAGGCCCAATATCAGCACTCTGAGCCTTTTGGTTACTGTCATTTACAGATTTTAACATATTTGAACCCTGTGATCTTGAAAGTGGGTCAAGGTCATTCACTTGAACACATTTGGTAACACTTCCTCAAAGCATCCTACAGGCCCAATATCAGCACTCTAATCATTTTGGTTATTAAGAAGTCATTTGCATATTTTAACATATTTAACCCCTGTGACCTTGAAAGTGGACTTTTGCAAATTTGGTATATCATCCATGATCCTACAGGTCCATTAGTCGTTTTGTATATTGGTATATTTTAACATATTTGACCCCTGTGACCTTGAAAGTGGGTCAAGGTCATTCATTTGAACAAACTTTGTAGGGCTCCACACCAGCATGCTATGGGCCAAGTATTAGCCCCCTAGGCCTTCTAGTATTTGAGAAGACGTTTTTTCAATGAAAAGTTTACAGATGACGCACGGCGGACGACGACGGATGAAGCACGTTTGGTATAGGTCATCTCGACCATTCGGGTCAGATGACCTAAAAATCATAAATGATCCATTTGTAAATGATGTACAGCTGTATGAAATGAAACAATGATTTACAATGAAGATAGAAATATAAAAAGTGAGGAAGGAATGGGACTGCTGGATACACATACATGTGTATGTAGTGTGTTGAGTTATTGGTGAGTATATAGCAGTTTTGTACACCACTAGAGTATAATGATCCAAACAGATTTACTAATATATTTATATAAGTATATATTATTTTAACTGTAGCCCTATCACCTTCTGTTAATTACAATTACATTTACTGTATATGGGAAAGCATCTTCTCTAGTTTAACCTTTGTCTGTTTCACCCATTTACAAAAATGGCATAGCTAAAAAGTGGGTAAATGTTTGATGTTGAAAGTGAAATTATACATCTGTATATTCTAGGGTGAATTTAAAACCGTGTGAACATAAAAAAATTTGATTTGAAAAGAAAAATAACTCCCAAGTTATTTTTTTCTCCATGTATAGTATCATAAAATATCTATACTTCATGTAATATATATATTTACATATATATTTAATCAGAGAGATAGCAACTATGTAGACAAAGGTGTTTTTCAAATTTTTTATATGATCAAAATCTGCACTTTTAAACTCATCATTTCATTAGTATGCATGGTGCATTTGCCATTGGCTTCTATTAAATTATGGTAAACAAAAGTTTATTTTAGTTACTGTATACTAAAGTTTAATTAAGTTACTGTATCGTATACCAAAGTTACTTAAGTTATGGTATACCAATGTCCTTAGGTTATAGTACATGGAACTTAATTTAAGTTATGATATACCACAGTTTATTTAAGTTATGGCATGCCAAAAGTTCATCTATGTTATAGTATACCAAGGTTAGTTTAAGTTATGGTATACCAACGTTACTTAAGTTATGGTATACCAAAGTTACTAAAGTTATGGTATACCAAAGATACTTAAGTTATGGTATACCAAAGATACTTAAGTTATGGTACACAAAGGTTAGTTTAAATTATGGTATACCAACATTACTTAAGTTATGGTATACCAAGGTTAGTTTATGTTATGGTATACCAACGTTACTTAAGTTATGGTATACCAAAGTTACTTAAGTTATGGTATACCAAAGTTACTTAAGTTATGGTATACCAAAGTTAATTTAAGATATGATATTCCAAAATTTATTAAAGTTATGGTATATGAAATTTTTATTTCTGTAAATATCATCATAACTGATTATAAATATAACTTGCAATTGCATGCATTATCATAACATCTTTTTTTTTTAATTTCACAAATCAAAACAAAAATAAAAGGATAAACAAATAATGAGAAGAAGAAATAATTACAGACATAATTATGAATATTTATGAAATTAGGTCAATGAACAGGTAAAAGGTAAAACAGAGCTATGCAATGTCAGACCTTGTGTAACAGACCCTGAACCTGCATCAGTGTATGTATACATGTATGTCTGTGTAATACATACACTGTACATGAGTTTATGGTGGAAATACAAAATTTTGAAACAAGACGACAGATGCTCAACCGAAAAACAAACATTTAAATGGCATTAGATGGTAATATTTCATGGCCCTGTTCAGTATTTATTTCATCATTGATGGGAGTTTTCATCAGAAACTCTTATCATCCTGGTAAATAAATGAATTCTGTATGCAAAGCTGACCTACATCCTTGCTGAGTCAGCCTATTTTGGAAGATATATTTTCTGACCTTACGGGCATGTGTGAAGTCAGGATGATTCTCAACCTGTCAGCAACATTAATTCCTACTGTCACATTGTTTTATTAACATTCTACTGTGATAAAAATGAAAAATACATGAACATCATCAAAACGTTAATTTCAAAAAGTAAATAAATTTATTGTTTGTATACAAATGTGTTTATTTTCTATAAATGTATTTTTCCAATAACTTTTAGACAAGGATTCAAATTCATAAAAACAATACTGACCCTTCGATTTCTGTTTTCAGTCTTTCTACAACTAATTTAAATATACAACTGAATCCGAAGACACTAATCATAAATTAATTGCTGTTTTAAGGCCTACATACCTATTGCTTACTTTCATCTCATGTTTATGACCATCAATCCATGTAATTATCTATCATGGAGAAGGGAACCTGCTATTTTCATGTTAGGACCCCCGTGACTTAGTTGTATAAAGGGAAAGACCAAAGGGAGATATCCTGGCACTTTGCAGCATGAGTGTATTGTTCTCGTCATGTCCAACAATTGCGTGTAGTTCTATGGTCATGACAATCAATAACACTGTAACCTCAGTTAAATGCGTCAAGATTTAGATATAATATTACCAAATCTTATATACTGATTTTTATTTTAAACCACAAACAATTCATATAAAAAAAATAAAAACTTTTTTCGTTCAAATTGACTTTTCTAAAATTATGTGGTACTTAAGTTTTAGAAAGGACTGAAATCAATGAAGATATACATAAACATGACTTTTATCTTTAATGATTTTTGTGTAAATTCAATTCAAGAAGTGTGTTTGTATGAATTAAAACTATCCTCATAACTACATGTTTATCATATCAATGTCCAGAATATATTATATATCTGATGAACTTTTAGAAATCAACTTTCACACCAGATCCACAGCACATAAATCTGCCAACCTGAATATGTTAGCATAAACAGCACAGATAATGACTTATTGACCTCAGAATAAAATGGAAAGAAAACACATTTGTGTACACCTTCAAGACATAGCATTAATAACATCAAATATCTTACTCGATATGTATATTTTTATCTGTGATCTAGAGCAGAGTAAAATGTCTGTACTTGACAAAATAGTGAAATTCAGGGACAACTTTGTCAGTATTTATCAATATTTTCTGCTATTTCTTGTGTTACTGACCCATCAACATGCATATGATCCCTGTTAATTCCTTACCATAGTTTGTATTCATGTGAGGTATTGTTATTTACAAATTAAAGTTGGGAAGGGTTGAATTCCGAGGCCCTGACCTTTACACTTTTGTAACAATTGTCTAAATACTGTTCTTAACAGACAGATATAGAACACTTACAAAAAGTAGGTCATTTACAGATGTCTTGTGACTGCAGGTGTTTCAAGTGAAGTATACTTAGACTGGCTGCAGCAGAAACTGATACAGTCTGTACATGTATGTATATATATATCTATGTAAAGGTAAGTGGTTGAATTCTGACATACTCTGTAAATATAGTTCCTACAAACTTTGATATATACAGGTATTACAGGTAAATAAGTTCTAAGAGACCACGGAGTAGGTATTACAAGCAACTGGATTTGTTGCATACTCAGATACACAGGTATTACAGGTAAATGGATACCTTACATACTCAGATACACAGGTATTACAGGTAAATGGATTCCTTACATACTCAGATACACAGGTATTACAGGTAAATAGATACCTTACATACTCAGATACACAAGTATTACAGGTAAATTGAATACTTACATACTCAGATACACAGGTATTACAGGTAAATGGATTCCTTACATACTCAGATACACAGGTATTACAGGTAAATTGAATACTTACATTATCAGATATACAGGTATTACAGGTAAATGGATACCTTACATACTCAGATACACAGGTATTACAGGTAAATGGATACCTTACATACTCAGATACACAGGTATTACAGGTAAATGGATTCCTTACATACTCAGATACACAGGTATTACAGGTAAATTGAATACTTAAATTATCAGACACACAGGTATTACAGGTAAATGGATACCTTACATACTCAGATACACAGGTATTACAGGTAAATGGATTCATAACATTATCAGATATACAGGTATTACAGGTAAATGGATACCTTACATACTCAGATACACAGGTATTACAGGTAAATGGATTCCTTACATACTCAGATACACAGGTATTACAGGTAAATGGATACCTTACATACTCAGATACACAGGTATTACAGGTAAATGGATACCTTACATACTCAGATACACAGGTATTACAGGTAAATGGATACCTTACATACTCAGATACACAGGTATTACAGGTAAATGGATTCCTTACATACTCAGATACACAGGTATTACATGTAAATTGAATACTTACATTATCAGATACACAGGTATTACAGGTAAATGGATACCTTACATACTCAGATACACAGGTATTACAGGTAAATGGATACCTTACATACTGAGATACACAGGTATTACAGGTAAATGGATTCCTTACATACTCAGATACACAGGTATTACAGGTAAATGGATACCTTACATACTCAGATACACAGGTATTACAGGTAAATGGACTCCTTACATACTCAGATACACAGGTATTACAGGTAAATTGAATACTTACATTATCAGATACACAGGTATTACAGGTAAATGGATTCATAACATATTCAGATACACAGGTATTACAGGTAAATGGATTCATAACATACTCAGATACACAGGTATTACAGGTAAATAGATTCCAGATTCATAACATACACAGATACACAGGTATTACAGGTAAATGGATTCATAACATACTCAGATACACAGGTATTACAGGTAAATGGATTCATAACATACTCAGATACACAGGTATTACAGGTAAATTGATTCATAACATACTCAGATACACAGGTATTACAGGTAAATAGATTCCAGATTCATAACATACTCAGATACACAGGTATGACAGGTAAATGGATTCCTTACATACTCAGATACACAGGTATTACAGGTAAATGGATTCATAACATATTCAGATACACAGGTATTACAGGTAAATGGATTCATAACATACTCAGATACACAGGTATTACAGGTAAATAGATTCCAGATTCATAACATACACAGATACACAGGTATTACAGGTAAATGGATTCATAACATACTCAGATACACAGGTATTACAGGTAAATGGATTCATAACATACTCAGATACACAGGTATTACAGGTAAATTGATTCATAACATACTCAGATACACAGGTATTACAGGTAAATTGATTCATAACATACTCAGATACACAGGTATTACAGGTAAATTGATTCATAACATATTCAGATACACAGGTATTACAGGTAAATGGATTCATAACATATTCAGATACACAGGTATTACAGGTAAATGGATTCATAACATACTCAGATACACAGGTATTACAGGTAAATAGATTCCAGATTCATAACATACACAGATACACAGGTATTACAGGTAAATGGATTCATAACATACTCAGATACACAGGTATTACAGGTAAATGGATTCATAACATACTCAGATACACAGGTATTACAGGTAAATGGATTCATAACATACTCAGATACACAGGTATTACAGGTAAATTGATTCATAACATACTCAGATACACAGGTATTACAGGTAAATTGATTCATAACATACTCAGATACACAGGTATTACAGGTAAATTGAATACTTACCTACTCAGGTATAGGTATTATTGGTAAAATAAATCCTTACCTACTGAGATATAGGTATCACAGGTAAAATAAATCCTTACCTACTGAGATATAGGTATTACAGGTAAAATAAATCCTTACCTACTCAGGTATAGGTATTACAGGTAATTAGAGTTCTTCAAAACTAAGACATTTGTTACAGGGAAATGGATTCCTACAGGCTTAGATACAAATAGGTATTTCATTTTTTCTTCATTTGTGATTGAGTTTAAGTTTATTTTCATTAGGTCTTAAGCTGAACATGAACTTTTCACTATATCATAAAGTCTTTACTGTTTAAAAAATGAACTATAGAAGCTAGGGGCTTGTGATGTTTATTAAGGAGAACACATTTAATAGAATAAATTTATCAGCATGTACAGAGGCCCCTATGTATCATCACTCCTGAGCATCTACACTGTAGTTATCACAGCTTGATGATGAATTGTGACAAGAGGCAATAAAGCTTTTATATATATTCACACTCATTAACTAGCACAGTAAATATACAATATGGCAATTTTTTTGCTCTGAACCAACAGATGGTCATCCTGATCAAGTGATAAAAAAGCAGCCATTTTGCTACTCAGATATCACAGTCCAGAAATCATGATTTTTTTGTTGGACTTGCTCAAATTTTGAAACCCTACTAAATATCTTTTAGTATTTGGATTCATGGATATTTTGGAATTGGTGTTAGGACTTGAATTGAAAAATCCTACAAAAAATACTGAATAGTAAATAATAGAAAGAACAATTACTGGGATTATCATGTATACTTATAAACTAAATTTATTGATGCAATATTCATGGACATGGTTAGAATTGACAACAGACAAATAGACAGCACAAAAACAATATGCCCCTGACCTTTTGATCCAGGGGCATAAATACATAAGAAATAAGAAAAAAACATCATGACAAAGACAGGCATAAACCAATAAAATCTCATTTCTATGAAAATAACCTAAACGAAAAAAAATGTAATTTGATACCCCAAGTTATATATTACTTGACTGTCACCAGTGGTATCACAGCTGGTTCTAACAGAAAATTTGCTGTTGTAGTCAAAGATCACTGTATTCCATCTCCAATGTTGGCTTCTTAAAAAATCTGTTTATAATATGTTTTGAAGACATATTTGGTTCCTAAAAATCTCATTCTTCTAGCAGGGATGGAAAAAAAGTCTTTTATAAAGTGTGTAATGTTATGACAGAAGCCTCATAGTGAAAAGGTAGAAGCCTCATTCTGAAAATTTATAAACATGTGGTCACAGAATGAAGATTCTTCTGTGTTGTAAGTTTGTTCCATCTATTTCTCAGTTTTTGGCAAAGCACAGTGATGTAAGTGTATATTACAAATAGTCTTGTCAACTAAAGTATGTAAACGCATTTGCATTTTATGCTGTCAATCAATATAAATGGCAATTTGCTAATTTCGAAGTATGTAAACAATAGCCCCCCACTCTCCTGTCTCGAGATGAATGTTTGTATGTTATAATGATTTGTGTCAGTTAATGCCATGATCTGGTTTTTATTACACATCATCCTTTAGCTACTCTGTTTGTTATTAACCCTAATTTGTTTCTAGGTGTCATTTGTGCACATCTGTCAGTGTGGAAGAGATATTTCGCATTTAGTCATTACGCCCCATGTCATGTTTCTGGGATGAATCATCATATAAGTAATTGATTAATGTTAGGGCATCTCGTTGGTTTATAGTAGTATACTGGATTGTGTACTCCATATTTCTTTACTTTAATGTTCTGTTGTAGGGTCAGTATCGCTATTAGTACCTTTTCCTGAATTTTGTTAAGTCTTTACCACAAATCAGATGTACCATGTGTAAAGTCATGCCATGTCTCATCTCATCAGCAATACAGAGTTTTACATTGAAGTGAGGATGTGTTGTTGTGCTTGGTTAACTATATCTGCACAAAATTAAATTAAATATAAAGTGACTGACATATTGTTATTGGTTTTGAAAAACATAACTCATAATAGTAAGGGCTGTACAAATGGTATGTATATGTGTATATATTTTTGCCTTTTTACAATATTTATACATACATATTTGCATGAAGGTTTCATAAACAAAGATTATATTTTGACCCTTCTGATATGTGATATGACCTCTGACATCACGAAAAGTCAAAGGTCAAATACCCTGGATTACATGACTCATATAGTGGTTGTTTGAATTTGTGAAAAAATTAACTTCTATAACTGTAATCTATGCAGCAGAGTTTATTTAGGTGTAAATATATCTGAAGTACATTGTCTAAGACTGATAAATCAACTTTTTTTCTCTTGCTCAATCCAGATTAAAAGAAATGTTATCAAAATGTAATATTAGTAGTATCCTGGTTTGGCATATTCACATGTTGATGTAACAGAGGTCATTATTTATTACAATGCATCTGCTAGGAATCAAACCCAGGACCCCTGGCTTACCAGTCTGACGCTCAACCAATCGAGCTAAAGAGAACTTCTCTCTAGCTGAGCGGTATTTTGCGGCTAGTATTTTACCAGGGTTACATTGACATGCATCTTGCTAATAAATTTGTACTTACTTGAGTCTCTGGTTCTCCAGTTTGAGCTGAAGAACTTCCTTTGTTGCTTCAGCCAGTTCTTTCCAGCCATCATTCCCAGCTGCTGTACCAAATGCTGAGGGAGGAAGTAGGTCTACCTTCTCTGACATGTTTGCCTTTAGCATGTCTGTAACAAAACAAATAAAAAAAACATGAAAATAAAACTTGACCCAAAATCTTCGTTAATTTTGTAATGATTGATGATCATTTTAAAAGAAATGTGGACAGAATAGCCCAACCAACTGTTAAACCTTTCTTTGTGTTCTTTTTCATTACTTATTTATCCAGATATAAGACCATGCTTGTTTATAGGCCCACCCCATGTACTGCTGTTCAGTAAAATTAGATATATAATGCCTTGCACTTCATTTTCCTATTTCAATCCTATCTTCTTTAGCCAGGGACTTTGTGCTGCCACCCTGGGATTATTATGTACTCCTTTCCAAGCATAGCAAAATAAAAATGCCTGTATTCCCTTCCAGAAATTATAATCAGTTAAAAATATAGATATTATCGCCTCAGAGGACATTTCAGTAGTTCGAAAACTGCAAATAAGTTGTGTGTTTTTTAAAATTAATATTTAGCATTTTCTGAAAATTCACGGTCAGCTTCAACCACAACTGAACACATCCTCTAATTTCAGACGATCAAATTAGCTTGAACACATGCAAAGCTAACAACACAGTTATAGACTTCTTAAAACAACCAATATACCAGTTGGCCATTTCACTCACAATTTGAGCTCCAATCAAAGGTACGTCTGAACATTATCAACAACATTAAAATTATAAAAAATGTGTAGTTTCCTTTGTCCACAAATTGATATGAACATGCTACCTGTTGTCCTGTCCCACTACACCTCACCATTGATTGCAATATGACCTTGGGTCAGAAAACACAGGTGAATACAATCTAAAAATAGATTCACTCACCTGTGCATGATTTTTCTGTGAATGTTTTCACATGCCCTACAATGGGACAGTTTATGATCCCTATTCATGAAACCTTGTTGGAGTTTTAAAAGAGTTCATTCCAAAAAGTTAGAATTTGTATGTCTTGAGTTTGGTACACTAATACCAATGGTGAATGACAATTTCATACTACATAAGCAAGCTCCATGGATTTTTAAAGTATGTAAAAAAGTTGTATAATAACTTTTATTTCCAATAATAAGCTACTATCAGTACTGAGGTAAATATTCCCGTCAATATACAAAAAAAATAAATAAATAAATAAAAATGATAATTAAAATTAAGACGAAATATGAAGAATAAATTGCTCAACTACTCTACAGTTTACAATGAAGAAATTATTGGAACATAAAAGCATTTTCTACAAAACTGAAATCATATTCTTTCACATGCTACTACACACATGCCATTACTCTGGATCTCTTGATTGTTGAAAATAAACTTCAAGATCTCAACTCAAATTGGTAGCCCTTCATCCCCTTATAGCAAAGAACCAATATCAACATCCTGGATCTTTTTGTTATTGAGATGAAGTAATTTGAAGATTTTAACACATTTGACCCCTGTGACCTTTAAAATGAGAAAATGTTAATTACATGAACAAAATTGGTTACCATGGATTCCAGCATGCTATGGGTTGATTATCAGCACTCTGAGCCTTTAGGTCATTGAGAAGAAGTCCTTCAAAGATTTTGACATCTTGACAAAGTGGGTCAATGTCATTCATATTAACAAACTTGGTAGTCCTTCATCCCATCATGCTACATGCCCAATATTAGAGCTGTGGGCCTTTTGGTTATTGATAAAAAGTCATTTGAATGGAAAGTTTACGCATGGCACAAGATGACTAACAAAACATGATGGCTATAGACCATCCTGACCTTACAGGTCAGATGACCTAAAAAGAGAAAAGAGAATTGCCAGGAACAAACTGAATCTATTAACATATGTGTACCTACATGTTTAAACTTTAAAGGTTCCATTCACAATATACATTATCAACATCTATCAGTTTTACTGCATTCTCGATTCCCTGGGTTGTGAATACTTTCACTCCCTGCACTCCTGGATCATGTCATGGCAAAATCGAAGGCACAAGCAAAGTAATTTTATTGGTTCCAGGAAAACAAACCTGACCAATCACAGTCTAATATGCTCATTTTAAAGATTACAAAGAAGCAATACCCAACTTCAAAGCTATTACAATATACCATTATGTGACCTTGAGATTCGTCTTTTCGTCCTGTCCACAAGGTGTCGCACATGTAACCATTAATTTTACCATGACATGTGCCAGGGATGCAGAGAGCGAAAGTGATCATAACTCCTGGAATATCTAGGATGGTTTTACTGTTTTATAATGCAGCAGTATTATGACTTGTGACACCCTGCTGTATGTAATTTGACTTATATTTCATAAAAAATTTCATTATCGTTAGTCTTGCTGGAAATAAGCCACATGTGATATCTAAGTGCTCTTAATGTACCATCATTTATACCCCGGTAGATCAAAAATAATCTGTGATGTTTTTGTATTTTGTAATTTGTGACTGCTATGTAATTTACCTGGATAAATATTATCATTATTGTGGCTGATCTTCATTTCCTATATTGTGTTTACATGTGTGCGTATTGATCGGATGTGCCTATGGTGAGCATGCTATGAGTTTGCATGACCTATGACAAATTTCTACTTTTTCTTTTGTCGTCTTTTTAATAGATATACTACATGACCATCTATCAGAGGTAAAAAATATAAATTCACACAATTTTTATTAATATCCTGGGCACCAGATGCCAAGGAAGTTACAACATATTTAAGTATTAATAATTTTCATAGTATGGAAAAACCAACAGGTACTTTTAGTGACAATCTTTCATAATTTGCTATCAGTTGAAAATGTATCTATATAATATTGCAGCATTTCTGAATGTAACCATGATTTAAACTACACACAGTTTTTATACCTTAGTTTCAGTTGTGAGTAATATACATACCGTATGTATGTACACCGAAAATCAATCTGTGGATTTGTTCAGAGATATAGAGGAAATGACACTTTTTTCCTTCCGACAATTCATATCATATCTCCTTGAATTGTGTTCTTAAAAGCCAAGCATACCTGATATTATCGTTCTATGGTTTTTTCTATGATGTTTCCTCAACCAAACATGATTATTTATGATTATTTATTATAGTTTCCATGGTTAATTCCTTCCAATTTCTCGTTACAGGTTCGTTGTCGTCCTTCGTAATAGGAAGCCATTTTGTTTGACTTTGTCACATGAATAAAGTTAGAGTTATTCCCCTTTCCCCATTGAAAAACCATACCCATGAGCATATACAAACACAACATTTTCATTCTACATTTTATTTACAAAATAACAATAAATAACATGTACAAGAATATTACATAAAATAAATAATCAGACGTTTTATTGATTATGCTCGTTTATCACTTAATACATAGCAGGCCGGTTTAATATTTCTCGAAACCCCAACTGTGGAAAACTCCTCGGCGTTGAAGTTGTCTTCCTAATAAATGGCGTTCTCGTCGTCTGATGGTGTGTCAGTAGATGGTGTTACTGTATAGTTATCGTTAATTGGCTAATCACACGCTGTCACTCACTCACACTCGAGGTGAGGAGACGACCCAAGCTGTTTATAACTCTGCTGGGATAACCCTTATCAAAACACCAATTATCGAAATGAGTACTTGTCATACTGGTAAGCTTACTGTACCTTTATGGAGAATAACTGTTGTTATAAACAATTAAGTGAATTCTTGAATGGTACCTGTAAGTTATACACAATGCGACATGCTCTCGGCCATTACGACATTAGCGTACGTGAAATGAAATCGGCAGCTTCAATTTGCATTTTTTACCCGCGGACATTACATGGAAGGTGGGTTTTTTCCCCAGATTTTTGTGTCAAAAAAGGGGTGCGGACATTACACAGATGCGGACATTACGTGGGTTTTTACGGTACATGTATGTACAAATAGCTGTTTATTTGTTCTTGAGTTTTTCAACCTTGGAACTCTGACCGATCTATTCAATCTGTGACTGAATCTTGCTTTTGAGCTGTCTTTATGCCAAGACCCATATGCATCCCAAAACAATGATAACAGTATGTTTCAATTAATTTAATAAATTAGATTCAAAATAACAGTAACATATTTCATGCTGTAACAATAATCCAATAATAAACATACTAATATTCCAAAGAGGTGAAATTAATTCCAACGTCATCATGATGCTTATCAAGCTATGTCAAAATGTGTATTTGGACACATAGGGAAGTGAGTGTATCCAACATCCCATAAACAAGAATTCTCCTAAAGCTCAAAAAATGTTAAAAGAATTAGTACTTAAGGAATCTTCATGATAAAGTTGAACCATCCAACTAACAGTTTAAAGCTGGTTTTATGTTTTTGAATCTCTTATTACCTATATGTTTATGTATATGTTTATGTAGTTCTATTACCTATATGTACATGTAGTCCTATTACCTATAAGTACATGTAGTTCTATTACCTAAATGTACATGTAGTCCTATTACCTATATGTACATGTAGTTCTATTACCTAAATGTACATGTAGTCCTATTACCTATATGTACATGTAGTTCTATTACCTAAATGTAAATGTAGTTATAACCTACACATGTACCGATGTTGGCATCCTTCTTTTTTCAGTTTTTAATTTGCAAAGCAAGAAGATACTCAGCCAAGTTCAAATGATGTTAATCTCAAGATCAATGAACCATAACATCATAGGAAGGCTAGTCATCTCATCCTTCGGAGGTTCAGACGTTTTTGAGACTCACAATAATAGCCTCATGTAAATCCAACATTCTGTAAAATTCATATCCTGCATATTACTAATACAGTCCTTGAAGTGAGAGTGAAATTTTCTGTTATTAGACTTTAATTTACATTTGTCACTGGGTACAAATAAAAAATGTCCATGTGGTGCACATGTTGAGAAGTGTTCCTAATTACCTGAGAAAATGAATAAAAAAACCTTTTTCATGGTGTCTTCATTTTGAAAGCATTTGCTTCAAGTACATGTTTATTGTTTACATTGGTAAAATGCTCAGTTCTGTGAGCTACTCAACGTACTCTGCGGGATCGAAATGGTTAGGCTGAGGTCAATCCGTCGAATGAAATGAAGGAAAATGTCAAATAGACTAGTATTTATTATTTACAAATGATAATAAAGTATTTTAGATTAAGAATGTGTAGGTCTTAGTTGGTGTAGTATATGCTATTTTCACTAAGAAATACATGTACGTAAGAGAGCATCTGAGCATGACATGTCCTGGCATGAATTTATCATTTTCTAAAAAATGGAAACTGATGCACGCGAAATAAAATGCTGTTGTGATATACTTATATGTAAACAAATCCATATAAATAACAAAAATACACTCTTAATCCTATTTTTTCCGAAACACCACGTACCTGTTCCTTTCCGTGTGAGGAAATCTGCTGGGGTGTTCAAATTTGACGCCATGATAGTTCGAAAATGTGGCTATATGTTGTGTTTCTATTGGTAATCTTGAGTATTTTTTGTTGTGGTGAGACTAATAGGTACATTTATATCGAAACATTTTACGAAAAATAATTTATTCTGCGCAAATATTGTTTGAGAAGGTGATATGGGATTTACAAATACTTTGACAGAAAATGGAAAGTGACAATACGAAAGTACACAGTGACAGAGAATCCCAGCTTTATTTCTCAAGTGAAAGTGAAAGTAGTCACCCATGGTTACAACAACACGTGCTTGTAAGAGAGTTTCATTTATAATTACAATCAGTGTGTAAAACAATGTATGTTTTGGTTGCTTACATTTTCTAGTACTTTGTAAGCGAAAGTGTTGGAAGTTAACACGCTTTATTTATTCCACACTGAGAATCAGATGCAGCTACATGGCAAGCTGCCACTGCATCCTTCCACTTTACATATTGTATGTACTGAACAGAGGTCTGATTGTGATATCGAATGTTTGGTATGAATTTTTGCCTCCCTTACCAAGAAGAGTTCTGATCATGGGTCAGCTAAGTTTATGAGGCACGTTCATAACAAAACATGTAGGTCATAATCACGTGGATATGTTTTGTTACAAATATTGTTCTTCATGGCTTGTGTATGGCTCAAAATACAGGGTGTAGGTATAAGACACTTATCTAATCAACCTGCTTTGAATATTCCCTAGCTGATAAAAATAGGCTTCCATTCATTGATGGTGTGTCAGCAAAATGCTAATTCGATGTCTCTGATACAAACAAGATTGACATTGTTCAGTTATATTATTTTTCGTCTTTTTGTTTCAGCTAGCTAGTTGGATCGTTGACCCCAGGCCATCAATGGATTGGGATAATACTTACCAGAAGACACCAAGTGAGGTAAGTCATTTTAGTGATCTCTTGTCACAAAGTAGAAATCAAGGATACTCAGTAATTTTTCTTTCAGCTCCTTGTCAAAATTAAAGTGAATATTCATTCCTTTGGATTATTGGAATTGGATTAATTAATATCTAAATGCAAGAAAACAAATAAAACTTACAACAGAAATTTATGTCTGATCACATGATTAGAATAATAAAATACATGAAAGATGTTTGATGAAATTTTTACAAACAAACCCATACATACTGTTACTTTATCATATTGATAGAAAGTACTTATTTTCTTTAATATACTATCTTGTATGAATATAATATAAAACATGTTTATTTAAATGTTCAAACCTCATCAGAATACCTAAGACAAACCTTGACATTATAGTATTGACGAATATATCCAACCATTATTTGCATTGTTTTCCATAATTTTTTAGGATATTTTTTCCCTTTTTTTCTGCATCAGGAATTGGACTATCAGTACTCACCATCTAGATGGTCGAAGCGGATGGGAGCTGATGTCATCATTGCTGATCATGCCCAAGTCATCGGAATAGGTAAACCGTTAAACATTTTGTTTTTACTATAGGTGAAGTGTTAGTCTTTCTATACAAGCATACATGTATATAGACATAAGAGGTAGGGAAATTCTATAAAAGGAAGTAGAAAGAATTCAGTTTCAAAAGCTTTGTATTCTTTGGAGGGAAAAGTATCTTGAAAGTAAAACAATTTTAGAAACAAGCTGATCTCAAAATAGTAATCAATTTAAGGGAAAAGTATATTGAAAAGGTTTGACAAGGATTATTTCTGTGTAGAAAGAAATGCTTAATTATTACAATTAAAAGTTGCTTTTCAATAATTTTTTTTAATGTCCAAAGTTTTGTGTGCATGTTACTATCTTTGTTGTAAGGACTCTCTTGGAAAATTTACAGAAAAAGGAAACAATGGAGGGCATTAGGATCTCTCTTGGATTTCTTGTTTATTGCTATTAAAATAAGATTATAAATTGTAAACAAAAACGCTATAAATTGATTTGATTTGATTTTAAGCAATATTGTGTTGATAAGTACATATCAGGTTTATTGTCAGTTAAAATTGAGTTGTGGTTGTTTTTTCCTATTTCACAGAAAGTGAACATGCAAAACGAGATGTGGATTGTGAATTAGACATTCCCTATGGCACAAAACCCAAACAAAAGTTAGATATATTTGGGGCAAAATCTCTACCACCAGGTAAAATATCATTATGTACACACAGTTGTCTCCCTTCTTAACATTTCCTGTTATCAACAAGTCAGACAGAAATGCATAAACAGGTATTCGTCATATTTCAATTAGGATAACTTTTGTAATATATATTTTGATATTCTAATTTTGCGAAAAATTGTAAATGTTTTTCTAGTTTCCTCTTATCATTGTGAGAGAAATCAACTGTCTGAAAGCTATTACTGGTAGCTTTATTTTATCAGATGGAGCAATTTTTGTAAATTTCAGATATTTTTGCTTCAATCATAGTCATGTAGTCTTCTGAAACAGTTTGCAGTGTTTTGGTGTATTCTTTTGGTTTGATAATTGTAGATGCTCCAGTTTTTATTTATATTCATGGAGGATACTGGCAATTTCTAGAGTGAGTTATTAAAGTTTTTTTGTATTTCATTAAAATTATATACCATCCAATAATTACTGCCTTTGTATTTTCTTTGCTTTCTTTTTGCATGAATTGTAGCAATATATAATGACCTCAACAATGAACATCATTGAAGTTAAATCTATATATAGCTATAAAAAGAGCTTAAGGCCAAGGTCAACATTCAAAGGTCAAACTTAATTTAACACTTTCAACACTTTAACTTATGACTCTGTAATACAATCAGAGGACTTAGACAAAATCAATATTTAAAAAATCATGCTGCATTAATGTTCAATGTCACGATAAAAAAATATTAATCAGCAAAGTGTCAAAGGTCAAATGTACTTTAGTTAAGACTATTTATTTTGACTTTTCATAATTGAACTACAGATTAGTTTGGACTAGTAATTGGAAGTTAAAGAAATTATTCACATTTATTTTTAGTTTGATTCCAATGTTTGATCTACAGTTTGATTGATTTTGCAGGAGAGAGAAGTCTAGTTTCATGGCCACTACTGTGGTAAAGGCTGGTGCTATTGTTATACCTGTGGGGTACGAGTATGCCCCTGATGGTATGTGTACATCAAAGTCCAATCAACTAATCGTGGAAAAAATATTGGATTTAAAATATATTGAAATAAGGACACAATATATACAGGAAGGAGAGATAATATATAGAAAGGGAAGAAAGGGGAGAGAATTATGCATTCAGATTTAAGCAGGTAAAATAAAACATGAATAAACTGAACATTGAAAGGGAATGTATGATTTTTGTAACAGACAGGGGAGATAATCATGCACACAGAATGAGAGGTATACCAAACTTTGTGACATTCAGATTGGTATTGGTATAGGTATTGTAATAAAATTGACGTCTTTTCTAGATTTTATCATAGATTAAAAATCACTTGTGTCTACTTAAATGATTTCAGCAAATATGGATGAAATTGTGACTCAGGTTAAGAATGCTGTGACCTATGTTATCAAGTGGGCAGTTCAGCGTGGTTCAAGGTATTCTCTGTTAAAAAGTTACAATGTACCTTTTGGCCATTTTTGCCTCCAAGAAATTTAGTTTTTTTGTTTGTTTTTGCTTTTTTTTTTTCTTTGTTTTTTGTTTTCAAAATATGAATTATGTAATAAAATCAATACTACGTTAATTAAGGAAATAACCTAATTTTCTTCTTGTACAGAGGTGTGTATATTAGTGGTCACTCCGCAGGAGCCCATCTAGCGGCCATGATGCTCAGTGTCGATTGGATGACGGAGTGTAATCTGATCAGTGATATCGTTAAAGGTACACAACATCAAAACTTTATTTGATTTATATGTTTCTGTCTCTCTGTCATCATTATCACTTTGATAACATTTCTTACAAAATCCAATTTATGAAAGAATATCATGAACTTAGACCTGCAATATGCAAAAAATTAAGATTTCCAACAAACTGAATTTAAAAGTGTATCTAATAAAGGTCATCAAGAAATTTTTGCAATTCATTAATTTTTTTTTTTTTTTGCAAAATTGAAATATATTCTAGAGATATACATTGAATTTAAAAATTTTCGTCCATAATTACATATTCCAATGTCTCTGAATTGTTGTTTTCTAAGAAATAAGTTCCATTGTAAATCTATTATTGGTTGCATTTTTAAAGATATTTCATGAGGAAAGGTCATATGCTTCATGTCATTGATGCATTAAACCTGTGGTCTTTGCAAAGATTTGTCTCCCCTTAAAATATGTAACTTAACACTGTATATAGGGCAATTTCTGATCATCCAAATTAACCATTGTGATCTCATTCATAAGTTCAATTTAGATTGCTATCAACATAAACATCAATCTCTGATTCATTAAGTTTTTGTATAGATGTGCTATTTATGTGGAACTCTTCAAAATAGGAGATAAATACTGTAATAAGGAGACATGTATCCTTAAATCAATTAAACCTATCTTTAATTATTGTCTTCCTACAGGAGCCATCCTTGTATCAGGTGTGTTTGATCTTCGTCCAATTGTCTACACTTATGTCAACGATCCCTTGAAAATGACAAGGTAAGTGAGCAGTCATGAATGCACCATTCAGAAACCTGTTGTCAATTATTGACCGAGCTGTGTGAGAACGTTTGGAGGATTTGGGAGGTTAAAACCTCACTAAATGATCTTTGATTCAGTATTTTTTATATCAGTTAGAATTTCTTTCTTGGTTTCTCAATATTTGGTAATGATGATTAAAAAACAAGAATGGTAACAGTACACAAATTAAATCTGGGAATATTGTGTCGTATGAATTTTTTTTCAAACAAAATAAAAAAAAAAAACCCAAAACAAAGGAAATGTCATACGAAGTGCTAACTTTGATATACCTATCTTATTTTGATTGTTGATAAAGAACAGTCACTCAAATACTGGACTGGTATTAGACATACAACTAGTACTGAGTTCATATGTCAGGGAAAATTTAATATTTCAGTGAGTCTGCCTGGAACAATAGTCCTTGTAAACATGTGGAAGCCATAGCACATCTTAGTCGCCATAGAAACATACTCATTGCAGTTGGAGAATATGACTCCCCATCATTTATCAAACAGAGTGAACAATTTGAAAAGGTTTGTGGATATTACACCAGTCTAAAAATGACTCATTCAATTAATGGAGCATATTTCAAAGTGTAGAATGTAAAATTCAAATACTTGTGACAGTATGATATGGATTTACCTATCAAAAATTTGATCTTGTAAAATTGTGTTGTGTTTAAACATATAGTTGTCCACAATGGCAGCCAATTTTGAATCTTAATTGATGCCAGTTTCACAACAGCCTTGAATTTGAAATCAACCATGCTTGCACTACAATACTTGCCAGTAAATATCTGAACACAAACATTACAGCTCAAAACACCATTAAGTGACCATCAAAGTTACATTGTTATATAGTCGTTCTGTGAGTTATCACCAAAGTTACATTGTTATATACTTGTTTTTACAGTGTTCTATACTTGTTCTGTGAGTTACCATCAAAGTTACATTGTAAAATACTTCTTTTGTTCCACAGAACATGAAAATAGGATTACCATATATGGATGGTAAATTAACATTAACTAAATTCTAAAAAAAGTTGAAAATAGCACCCTAAATCGGAATAAATTTGTTGAAAAAACAAATTCAAAATTACTCTCTATAAAATATTTATACCAGCTTGTTGACAAATGTACAATCTAAAGTTATTATAACACAACACTAGAAGATTTAAGTATGATGTTTCAATAGCTACACTGTTACCTTCATCAGACAAATGACCATCCTGAAGAAAATATTCCAAAATACAGTACCCGTTTAAAGTTACCACCACTCATACTAGTTTTAATTATTTCAGGCATTAGATACTCGTGGATTGTCAACACGATTTTTGAAGATTGAAGGTTTGGACCATTTTAACATGATAGAAAATCTCCGATTTGAGGATTCGCCACTGCTTAAGGTTTGCTGAAAATCCCCTCATTTCATTTAGTTGATTTTTAATATAATTTTGTGAAGTGTAAAGTGTGTAGCTTGTATATATGTATTATAGCAAGAAAAGTGCTATATCTTTCCTTGTCCTTGATTCTTTTCCTTATACTTTACCAGGGAATAATTTTTTAAATTTAACGAAAAATAGTCGATTTTAGTGACAAATTTCAAGATTTTCAAAAATTAGGTTTAACATATCAAAGGTTGTATTTCATATCAATCTACTTTTGGGATTTGTAAAATTTAGTCCAGGATCCATGCTGCAACACAATGAAGTTGTTATTGTTTATCTAGATTAATGGTTGTATTTTGTGTTTTCTTCCAATGTTACCAACAACAATCAACATGCTTTGAATTAGTTGTCGTAGCTGTGTCCTTGAGCAAGACATTTTTTTTAATTATAATTGCTCTGGACGTTATGTGATGGGCCCCCTTAGGCTGGTCAGTGATGAAGTCACCAGCCACTAAATGGAGATCCCACCTCAACATGACCTTTGCTGATCAAGGGGAGATAAACCAAGCCAAAGTTGAGTAATTTCCACAGATTTCCTCCAAACTGTCATCAAATGTTTATTGAAGAACTGTTTTTTTTTCTTTTACAGGAGGTACTGATGCTGTTGGAACTAATTTGATGTTTTATGGTCACTTGAATACACTAGTACACTTTATGCTGTGTTTACTGGTGAGGCTATTTCATTTATAGTAATTATAAATGCCATAAAAGGCAGTTCAGTGCTGATATGTTTTGGAGATTTTGTGATTTGCTAGGAAGGACATTGATGTAACACCATTTGACCAGATACTGCAGTGTCTTAGAGGCATTTTGAGATATATTTAAGTTTAGACAGAAAATGTGAAGAAAGGGCACTAACATACATTTATGATATTAGATGTAGTGACCTGATTGTACAAAGTTTGGTAATAGCAAAGATGTTCTCTGAAATATACTCTGCTTGTGTAAGATATCATAATTTGAAAATCAGCTTGTAATGACAGCAATTAATCAGAAGCCAGGTTTTCCTATATTTTGTTATGGTGAACTGGAAATCTCGTGCCATTTTCATAATCATATTTTTAGCCAAGATTTAACCAGAATGACCCACCAGTTATATACATTACTACTTCCAAATATGATTTTATTTTCTATCTTTGTATTTCCCACAAATATCTACATAGCATTTATCCATCATAGCATAATATAATGTTCAAGAATTTTACTGTATGCAGATAAATGTATTTTGGGTTTTTTTTTTATAGTTGTTTTTTTCTTTATCTCTTCTTATTAGGGATGGGTCCTCTTTGAGTGCAAATGGAAGTTTTTTTTGTAACATAGTATTATACATATTAATATACATGTCAAATTTTTCTACATTTTCAACTTAGAATTTCTTAACAGTCATAATAATACTAACCAAATATACCTTTTTCTAATTATACATATGAAAAGGAATGTCATCATCTTTTTAAAATTCAAAGCCATAAATCTGGTTTTTTTTTTCAATGTTGAAAAAATTAAGAATATTTTTTTACAATAAAATACCTTTTATTTTCACTCACTTTGTAGGATATGAGGTTTTCGTGCATGAGTGTATTTTTTTCATTTGTTATGCCTGGCCATGCTGAAAATAAAGAGTATTAAAGGTTTCGATATATTAATTCAATTCCAGATTGGAATACATTTTATCTGGAAGCTATATTTCAAACATTAAAATTAATTTTATTTTACTCATGAAAACTGCTTGTTTGTAAATAAACTTTACTTATAAGCATTTAACTGCTTTTAGTTGGCTTTCATGGGCTCAAAAAAAGCTGTTAAATCTATCATATTTATCATTTTCAATTTTCACTATGTTGCAATTGTACATATATATGTGAAGACAATCTACATTTGTTTTCTTTGTTTGTGAGCTGGTTATCAACACACAACTGATTTCCTAAGAATGTAGTGTAGTTATGGCACACACTGGTAAATATTTATGTATAACTATCTCTGTCATTTACCACAGTGGGTCAAATTAACTAAAACTGACAATCATTATCACAATGAAGATGTAAGTATTTCACAAAGTGTGCATGCAATTAGCACATGCCTTACACAGTACAGTTTTAATGTTCCACTTCAGAATTTTGTTTCAAGCAGGTGCATAGTGTTTCATTAGCACATCTTGTTAGAATGGTTTTTAGATATTGTAGAAATAGAATAATTTATTACAAATAGCAAGGGCATTAATGTTTCAATTTTTAATTTTATGATCCGTGAAAACCAAAGAGTATGTATTAGCTAGTTTTCATGTAGGTAATGTCTAATTGTACAACGATTACCAAGAAAGCAGTTCCAATTTGTTCACATTATTATCAAAAGCAATGAAAATAACAGCATTCTGGAATTCTGTCATTCAAGTGTTTGCGTTATGCCTAAAATTGCCCATATTTAGAAGAATATTGCATTTAAGGATTTTGTTTTGATATATGTTGTTGTTTTTGTTACTTGTAAAATATATATGTAATTAACTAATTTGGATAAGATATTTCAACAATAAGTGAAAAAAGAAATTTACATATCAATTGTTGTGTATTAAGTGTGTGTTGTATAAATGATGGTTGTGATTAAGTAATATGAGCTCTGATGCACCAAATACTCAAGTACTCATCAAGACAAATATATCTTTACCTGCACCTCTGTGCGGTATTTATTCAGCGATAGTCAAATATCTCGCCTTGCTGATCGGTAGTATGAAAAACATTTTGTGAAATCAGCAAATGTGTCTGACAATAGTTACAAATGTTTCTGGAATAAGCCCACCCATACGTTTTGGTAAGCTATGAAATATTAATCTTTTTTGAGTTAAATCTGCTGCTGAGTCTGAAAATGATGTCATACAGTATTTATCTGAAGAAAAAAAACCGTACTAAGCGAAGTTTTTTCTTGGCCCTGCTGTATGCAATAAGTCTATCACTACTCAGCTTATAAAAGTTTGATATGTTGTTCCCAGTGGCTTATATATATGATGTTTGTGTAATATTGTTTGTCTTAAATTTTTACAGTTCAGTTTGAACAGCAAAATGTTTTTACATTAACCTTACGAAAAAAAAAACCGATATTATTCAGTATTATTTAATTAGTACATACATTATACACATGTGGAGTGCTACAAAAAATGGACTTCTCTCAAATTAATGATAGCTTAATCACAACCTTTAAAATAGATAAAATAGATTGATAAAAATTCAAATCTGAATGTAAAAATATGGTTTTATGGATTATTTCATATTGTTTATTAGAGTATTTAAGCCTGTATTACAATATTTATATTTGTTTACAACTTTAAGATAAATATTTTCCACTGAAAAAGTCCTGGAACATTTGACTCTATGTCTGCCTGTTTAGGTCCAATTTTGTCTTTGAGACTTTTTAAATTGTTTATAAATTTTGGTTTTTTAATTTCTTGATTATAACAATCACCTTTCAATACTAATCAAGGTTTAATATAATGGTAGTATTAAACTTTTTGGAATTGTATATTGTTGAAATACCTCATGTTCCATTTAAAAAAAAATAAAGAAGTGTTAAAACTTTATAACACACAGGGGCTTGGTTCAGATTGCCAACCCCTACAGCATAAGTGTTGGACTTGGTATAGGGTATCCATGCCAAGCCCTTGTGCCCAAATGTAGTTAGCATACTTAACAAAATCAATGTTTATCAATTATTTAGATATCATATTACATGTACATGTATATATTTTATTGAAAAATCATGAAATCAAAATAAGCTTGCTTTCAAAACAAAGCGTGTTGATTTATTCATTATTTCATTTTCTTTACGATTAAAAAAGAAAATTTCAGTGGGAAATCATCTTAATTATTTTACATATGTACCTACTGATTATATACATGTACATAACTTTTGGAGGAAACAGCATGATACCAATTCATTTTCCAGGGGCTACATAGACATATCACCTTTGTGTGAAGCAAAATGTCCCATCTTATGAAATATATTGACAAAGGTGCAATATACTAAACAAAAAAAGAAAGGTAACGCTACTTTATTCTATGATTAATTTATTAACCCCTTCATAAATCCTTACCAATCATGTACGAATAAAGTAATTGATCAATTCTGATAAAACTGCAGTCACAGGCATGGTTCATTATAAAACTTTGCGTTCAGTTGATTTTATTCGACTGTAAAGGACGTTGGGGTCAATTTCAGAGGTAACACCATTAGTAACGGGTATGGCCACTGTTTGCGAAGTAAACAGCATTGCAGCGTCGTCGCATGGAACTCGTAAACCGGCGGATAATTCGAGGAGAGATGTTGTTCCATTCAGCGATCAAGGCTTGGGCCAACTCCTGCAAGTTTGACGGCTGATTTTGACGTTCTCTCACATGTCGCCCAAGAACGTCCCAGACATGCTCAATCAGTGACAAATCAGGTGATTTAGATGGCCAATCTAACACCTGTACGTTATTCTGCTGCAAGAAAGTTGTGCTGACGCGACTGGTGTGCGCTGGTGAGTTATCCTGTTGAAAATGGCACCAACGCCATCCATGGCGTCTTAAGAATGGCAGAACCACTGGTCTTAAAATTTCGTCCCGATATCGAATGCCGGTTAAATTGTCATTTAACACAACAAGCCTGGTACGAGTCCCCTCACAAATACCACCCCAAACCATTACACTTCCGCCGCCAAAGTGGTCCCGTTTTGCGACGCAGCTGATCGCAAAACGCTCCCCTCGTCGCCTCCACACTCTGCGCCTTCCGTCACCGTGTTGCAGACAAAACCTGGACTCATCTGAAAACAGAACATTGTTCCATTGTCGTAAGGCCCAACGACGGTGAACACAGGTCCAGTTACGCCGATTATTACGGTGACGTCGCAACAAATTGGGTCCAGTGTAGGGATGCCGCGCTTTCAATTGGTAGGCCCTCAACCTGTTGCGGACTGTTTGGGGAAACACACGACGCCCAAACAATGTCCTTGTAGTCTCTACCGCAGTTACGAATCGATTGCGCAAGTGTATCAATCGTATACGACGGTCATCCCTGGCGGTCGTTTTAAGGGGTCGGCCGCTTCGGGGACGATCGGATGTTGACCCAGTTTGATTTAAACGACTTACCAACTTGCAAATTGTCTTAACACTGCAACCAAAATGCCGTGCAACTCGACGGCGAGACTCCCCAGCCTGGATCATGCCTACAGCCCTTTCTCTCTGTACTTGTGACAGCCGGGGCATAATGATAAAGTTGATAGATAGCAAGATTCGGTGATTTCTAAGTCCTAAGGATCTAAGGAACAGTTGTCAGTTTGAATGTTTATGAAATTCAAGCGAAGATACAAGTTAGTCGCAGAAAACCTCGTGCAGCTCTTTCGCTAATACAGACTTTCACGCTTGAATGATTTTGGTAACGCCCTTGGATTTTGTAATGTAAAACATTACCATTTTCTAATATTGCACAAACGTCATTTTGTTTTCACTCATTTACAGGTATTCGCCAAGGAAACATGTTAGCCTTTCTTTTTTTGTTGAGTATATATAATTGTACCAATATTTAATCCCTACACAATAAGTGCAATTTGCAGGCATATTTACTGGGTATATGTCCTTGTGGATTTTTTCTCAGTGC